ATTTCAAGCAAATGGTAATTTTAAAAAAGGCAGGGGTAACTAATATCAGACAACACATACTTTTTTTTAAGATTTTATTTGAGAGAGTGAGTGGGAGGGAGCGGAAGAGAGAATCTGAAGAGGGGTCCATGGTGAGCTGAGTGCCTGAGTTGTGGCTGGATCCCTCTATTGCATGATCATGACCTGAGCCGAAGGCAGACGCCCAACAACTGAGCCACCCAGGCGCCCCAAGAGAGAGAGAATCTTAAGCAGGCTCCACGCTCAGCACAGATTCTGACACCGGGCTTGATCTCACGACCCTGAGATCATGACCCGAGTCACCCTGGCGCCTCTAAATTCTGTTCTTTCTAATATTGCTTACGATTCTAGTTATCTCAACTAGATTTTCCTGGTACATCTTTTTTCATGTTTTACTTTCATCCTTTGGTTTTAAGAGGTTTCCCTTGTAAAGAGTAACAGTGAAGTGAATTTCGATTTTGAACTCAGTCTAATTATCTGGGGGCCTGGGTGGAGGAAGAGGGCAGTTGAACCTGCTCACAATGGTGAGGTGTACTGGCACTTTTACCACCATCCTTGGCGATTTCGGTTTCCAGCCTTTTTCTTTGTCGTTTTCCCTTTCCCCAGCTTCATGTTGGATGATCGTTTCCTTCCTTCCACTAGTTTGGAAGCTGTAGATTGTATTTTCTTGCTTTTGGTGGTTACCCTTAAATTTAACACAAATTAGCATAACATTTTCTAACACAGACTTAAAGTTTCACTTACTGCTGGCTGCACACCTATTCCTCAGCCTTTCCGTCTTGGCCTTTTGTCCCTGCAGTTTTTGCGGTGCTGGGGAACTGGTGGGAGCAGGGAAGGAGTGGATACAAGGCAGCCCGTGAGGACAGGTACAATTTGGATGCAGGGTGGTGACGGGCATAGGAGGTGGTCCAGGCTCTGGCAGGGAGCCCCGAAGAAATGTTTAAATAAATCTGTCCACCACCGACGGTCTTCTGATGAGTTTTATCAGATTCTAAACTTCATCTCCAATACTGTACTTTGAAAATAGCACACGGGTATTAAATGCATGTGCCTTCAATATATATGTATTTCTAAATTATTCAGCTCCGTTTTCAAAATGCAGGCATTTCTGTGATTCAGCCACATAAGAAACATGAAACACAGTGGCCCAGGCAGTGGTATTTCAAAGACACTATGACAAGAAGTAAGACACAATTTTATTGGTCAGGAAATGTGTTACCATGCTTCCATTGTAAGCTCCTTTTACATCTGCTTGTTCTTGGGGCTCGTTTCCAAACCCAGTAACCTCTACTTTTTCTTTTTCTTACTTATGACGGGCTTGCTGGATTGGGACACTGCCGTGTCCTCTTTAGGGGGGCTCAGTGTGAAACTTGAGGATGGGGCGTCCGCCGGTTCCTTGAGCACAGTGATGTCAACATCATTGTCTGGTCTTCTGGCCTCTTCCTCTCTCAAGGTGTTCAGCCTAACACAAGAAGCAAACACAGGAAGGTACCTTTGATTTTTCTTTGCAATTTCAAAACCAGTTTTATGCTGTATTATGTTTATGCCTAGTAGGCCATACCTAGATTTCAGTAGTTTTTGTAAGCAGAACTGTAAATTGTCCTCAGTTTGCCTGAAATATAAAGTGATGCCATGTCTAGACAGTCCAGAAGAAAATTTTCATGTATCTAAAGTGATTTTTGAACCATTTTCCTCTGTAGCAACTTAACAGCTAGTAAGTGGCCTTTTAAAATATTCTTGTGGTCTTTGCCCGTAAGTATAGTTTAATGCTTTCTTCAACAGACCAACAGGCTCAACGTGTGCTTTGCAAAGAGCAGGCTTTAGCACTCTGGCCAGATGTGACTGCACAGTTCTCAACCATGGTTCTAGAAAGGTAGGCAAATGGCAGGTAGTGGGTGCTCACCATGTGCCAGGCACCGTTCCAGACACTTTACAGCATCAGCTCACTAAATCCTCACAACAGCCTGATGGGGAATTATCTGCACTTACAGATGGGGACACCAAAGCACGGTGAGTGGTCCTTGCCCAGGGCCACCCACCTGTCAAGGGGCGGGGTTGGGATCTGAACCCGGTCGCCTAGCGCTGGGGCCGCTCAGCTGCTGCGGGGCCTCGCCTCTCTGCGTGCTTTGGGGCCCAGATGTTCTCACCACCTGAGAGAACCGGTGGTCACAGGCAGGATCCTTCTGGCAATTCCAGGTTCTCGGAGGAGCTGCCTCCTTTAGGAATTTGTATACTTTTAATGAAAGCATTTGGTCCCCAGAGATGGGAAGGAAAGATGGAGGAGAGGAGCTGAGAGGTTCTGTAAGGTTACCTTGCTTCCAACTCATTGTTTTCGAGTTTCCTTTGGTGGGCCGTGGCCGCGTGATGCAGCCTGTCCTCCCTTATTTTCTCCTTGAGGATTTCTTTACGTTTATGTGCAGGAAACAGTATATTCATGAAAAAGATATACATACTCGTGACCCACACAGCAAGTTTCTCCTTTTGTTCGTCCTTGGATTTTTCTTTTCTCTCTGGAAGAAAGTTTAAAATGAGCATGAATACAATTCCAGTTCTGCCACTTCCCACGATGCCTGAGCATCCTCATCCCCTGTGAGAGGGGATGATGCTGTGCTTCCCCCCAGCCTTGGGAGGGGTAAGGTAACCACAAAGTGCTTCACTGACTACCTGGAACAAGGCAAGTGTCAGTAGACCAGAGCTACGACCGTCAACATGTTGAGTCTCCTGGTATTTTTTTCTAAATGGGTAAGTATTTTGGTTTTCTAAAATTAAAACTATGGAAAATTTGCATCTTCCATGTTTCACAGGGGAAAAAAACCCCTTGGTTTTTCCATGCATTGTCTTTAAAGGCAGTTTTCATCAAGAAAATAATGTAAGAAAATTTTTTAAAAAGATTTAGAGAGTGCAAGTAGGGGGAAGGGGAGAGGGAGAGAATCTCAAGCCGACTCTGCACTGAGCACAGAGCTCCATGTGGGACTCGATCTCCCAACCCTGAGATCATGACCTGAGCCAAAACCAGGAGTCAGACATTCAACCGTCTGAGCCACCCAGGTGCCCCATGAAAGAGGATTTTTAACTAACTCTTCATTGGTGAGAGTTGCTTCACATCTGCTAGGGCCAACAGATAGCCACTGTGGAATATGTTTAAATAGCTGATTCTGGGAAGATAATGCTTTGGACTGTTCTGTAATACCAGTAAGCTCTGAGATCTCTCAAGACAACAAGTGTTTTTAGACTGTCTCTAGCGTAGGCTACTCTGCTGTGTGAGGGCCGGGCTGGGTGAGGAGTGTGGGGATGGGCACAATGGAAAGGTAAGGTGCTGTGAACAGTCCACCTTCCCATCCCAGGAGCCACTGTGGTGAGCACAGAGTGGAACACTAATAGGAAGAACCTCGATACCAATGCCCAATTTTACAAAGACTGAGGGAAGCCTTCATCGGCACTTCCCACAGGAGTTCCTAGGTTCTAGAACATCAGTATAATCCGTGGCGGGCCTAGCCTTGGGAGAATGTTGTGCATGGAAGTAACTGATGAAGAACAACTCACTGGGATTGTTGACCCTCTTCCAGGCTCTGGGCACCATGTCACCGGGCAGGCCCAGCCTCTGCTTCAGAAGTAGCAGGGTGCAGTAGTTAAGAGCACAGACATCAGCCAAACAAGTTAGAGTCAAAGCTCAGCTCTGCCACTTACTAGCTCTGCGATCTACAAGTGAATATCTGTGCCTTGGTTTCCTCTTCTGCAAAAAGGGAACCATGGAGGACCCATGTCACAGAGGTGGTATGAAGGTTAGATGATTTAATAGTGGTTTTCCCACAAGCCATGTTTGCCAAAACAAATTATTATAAAAGATGATGCACCAGGAAAAAATATCTGCCAAATAGATAAATAATGACTTGTATCCAGGTTACATAAATAACTCAATGAGACAACCCAATAAAAAAAATCTAAACACACCACTAAGTGTTGGCCAGGACATGGAAAGACCAGATCTTCTCATACTTTACTGATGGCAGATA